TATGAATTGCTTGTGAGTTTTATCGAGAAAGTATCTCGTTTATCCCTCCCACTCGTATGCTTCCCTACATCACTTCACAAATTAAGTTTTACTAGTACAATACGTCTGTATTATAGGAGTATTTGTTAAAAATTATATTTAAAATAAATAATAATAATAATAATAATTTTTTTTTGTTTTTAAATATTCTTTTGAATAACTATAATAGTATTATATTTAATATAATAATATCATTTATATGGCTTACCATCTTATATTATAATAATTTTTTTAAACTATATCATTTAGACTATGTTTGGTAAAACTAGCTGATAAGCTAACTGATAGCTGATAAGCTAATTTATAGCTTATTTGTAATTTTTTAGCTTATAGCTTATAACTTATAGCTTATGACTTATAGCTGAAAAACTAGCTTATATGATAAAAGTGTTTGGTAAAATTAGCTGATAAGCTAGCTGAAATAAAAAATTCAACTAGCTTATTTGAAAAGCTACCTAAAGTAGGTTATGAGATAAGCTCGAGCTTTTTGAAAAAGCTCGTCCTACCAAACGAGGCTTATTTGAATACAGGGGGCTTATAAGCTAACCAAATAAGCTAGAAACCAACTTATTTGGCTTACCAAACACAGCCTTAATAATTTTATATTTAAATTGATTAATTTTTTAATTAATATTAATAGGTAATTTGATTATTATTATAAAAATAAGTATAATATTTATTTATTTTAATATGTACAATATATGTGTCAAATCGAACTCATCAAGACATGATTAATTTGATATATTATATATAAAAAAATTGATAATAAAAAAAAAGCTTATTTATTTTTAAATCTACTTCGAATTGATGTTAGTAATTTTTTTTCACAATTTTAAAAGAAATATGAGGAAAAAGAAAAGATTGAGGAAAAAAATGTATGACTTATAAATCAGGTCTAGAATAGCAAATATAATATTAATTCTCTTAAAAAGGACCATAAAATGCCTTGTATATTTATGGTTATTCCAAACTATTTATTTTTTGATTGAGAGTAATTTAAAATCCATCCAAGTCAAATGATGAAGCATGAAAATTTGCCACATAAGACCTTAAAGCATGTGGCTCTGCCACTTAGATGCAACACATTCTAAAGTTATATATAACAAAAGATATTAAATACATAATTTGATAAGAAAAATCCTTTACATTGTTATTGATTGGACTAATTACATTCTATCCTCATGTCTCATTGTGATTTGTAAATGACTAAAAAGCTTCGGATAAAGATTTGGGGGAATATATTAGGGTAAATTATATTTTGCAATCTGTATTATTTGTGTTTTGGGATTTCCAATTTGAACAACTTTTTATAATAAATTGCAACTTGTATTACACAAAATTTCTATATCGGAACCTTCGGTCATCAGCAGTCCAATTTTCATCGAAAAAACGAGCGTGCAAGAAACACATACCAATTTTAGGGTGAAAACGTCATTTCATCTGATGTTAAAAGGTAGTTTGGACATTTTTCTTGTTTGTACAGGTAGTGTTCATGATTTTTTCCCCAAATTCAAAGCCCTAATATTTTGTTATTTTAATTTATTGCATCTTTTAGGGCGTGTTTAGATAGAAATAATCCGCTCAAATTGATTTTTTTGGTTAACCAGAGTTAATTTTGTAAAAGGTGGTATGGTTAGTTGTTAGTGAAAATTTTTTGAATTTATATTAAAATAATATTTAATTTAAAATAATTTGAGTAGTGAATTAAAGTTAATGTGATATGTAAAAACTAGTACATACCCTGTGCGATGCACCAAACAGAGATGTTAAATGAGTTATTTTCACAGGCTTTGTCTCTTTAAATCTAAAAAGCAATAGGGTTATCATCTATTTTCCACCTATTTTAATCAACATTAAGTCTAAAAAACAATAGGGTTATAATATATTTTCCACCTGTTTTAATCAACGTTTTTTTTTTAGCCAGAACATTAAATATGAGCACGTTAGGGCTAGCTTGTAAAATAATTAATATATTATCTTACTAACACATTTATACAAATATAAAATTGATTTTAGTATATATATTTATTCTTTGATATAAGAGAAAATAACAGTTTTACTTATTCTTGTTCACTATATAATACTTAATTATTATTTTATTATAAACGTTGTCTTATAATGTCATTATCATTTATAAAAGTTATAGAAGTTGTACGTCTTTTTTTTTATGTAATGAAAAATATTTAATGCACATTAGTATTATTTATTTCTACAATCAATTTAAAATATATAAATAAATTTGAAATTAAATAGTATATAAATATTTTACAAAATATACACACATATATTTTTAGAATTTAATAGTGTATACGAATTAAAAAACTTTGATTTTTCAAATGCCAAAAACTCAATCCCTACTATAATGAAGGTTTTTCTAATTTGCATTATAAGAATTTATAGTTTATTTAACATACTCTGCAATGAAAATATATTTTACAAGAAATTCATTGTAGAAAAAAATCAAAATAAAAAAAAATGATAAAAAAAATAATCATGTTTGCCCATAATCTACAAATAAATTCTAAAAACCCATTAATATATTTTAATTTTAATTTTTGACCATTAGTAAAACTATTTAATTATCTGACCATTAGTAAATTATATTAATTTGAAAAACAACTTTTTTTATATAACGAAATTAAGCTTAAGAAAAAATTAATTTAGCAAAGGTTAATTCACCAACTTGATTTCGCTTGTTTAAATGAAAGAAAAAATTCTACCTAACCTGTTACGATTTTCAATAATTTTTTTTGGATAAAAAGTGAATAATTGTGAAAAAATATACAATATTGTGGTTAGAACTTAAAATATGTTGTAATATTTATCTTGACCAAAATATTATCAACATGAATCTCGAAAAATCAATCTTGTAATTTAATTATAATGGGTATCAATGAAATTATTTCAGACATTAATAAAATTATTTAAGGAAACAATATTTTTTATCATATGTGATTTGATCTTATTTCAAAACGTGTATATGAAAGCAATTAATGCATATATTTTTTAAAAGTTTCAAAAAAAAAAGGTATGCGTTAAATGCTCCCAAAATGTTTTACTACTATTTTTAGTAAATGGTTATTCTTATTATGTTATATATATAGAATAGATATAAATATAGATAATTGACTGATATTATTTCATTATATTGATAATATCTGTATATATATAAATGGAATAACTATTACCAAAAATAGTAAGCAAAAATTCGGGCAAAATTAAATGCATGCTAATTCAGTTTTTTTTTTTTTATATTTTGTATTTTTTTTAACAACAAAATCGGGCAACATTTAATGCTCCCATCAAAATTGGGTATTGTTCAATTCAAATTCAAAAATTGCGGCTGTGAATTTTTTTAAAAAAAAATTTGGACCGATTTTTCCAATCATTTTGGACGGGTTTGCCAACCATTCCTTAAATTAAGGATTTTGTTCAACTTAAAATTTCAAAGTGTCGACTTCAAAATCTAGTGTATATCAAATTGTATGCATTTCAAAATTCAGAAACACATATTCACATGTTTTTTAGATATAAATATTATTTTAAATTTAGACCAATTTTTCCCATCATTTTAGACGAATTTTCCAACAATTCCTTAAATTATGGATTTTGTTCACTTAACTTTCAATATCGACTTCAACATATGGTGTATATCAAGTTGTATGTAATTTAAAATTTAAAAACACCAGTGCGCACGTATTTTAGATATAAACTTCATACAATGAAGGATTTTGTTCAATTTGACATGTATTTTATAAATCACACATTTTCAAAATTTTGACTTATTTTATTTAAATTTTCGTGATTTCGAATTTGAATTCCTCTGTTGGAGTAATTTGTAATCACTAATACTTTATATACTTTTAAACATGTTTTTCGGGTAATTTTTTTACTAATTCTATAGATTAAATTATATATATATATATATATATATATATATATATTAAATTTAAATGTCTTTAGACATGCTTTAGTTACAAAATAGTTTAGATAGGTGAATTCAAATTTTTTAAAAATAATACATGATATTTGACATAATCTTATACATGTTATATAATATTTTAGGTGTTTTTAATATTTTACACATACATGTTATATGTTATCTTAGACAAGATGATAAATTATATCACATGTTAACCCCATTTTTTTAATTTTAAGTTTTTTTTAATATGGTTAACTCACTCATTAATTTATAATTATCATTTAATATAGTTTATCCGTAAATCGCACGATGTCTAATTGAAAAATAGTATGGTTAAGTTAAAGTTAGTTAGATTTTTAATACTATGAATTAAATTTATTTATAAATAAACCACCCGTTCTCACGGGATTTTGCATTTGTTTGCGACTCTCAATTCCAATTTTCCCAACCCTCCCCGCCTAAAGAAGAAGATGAACACCAAGTCCTATAAAATACTACAAAAGCAGTGTAATGTAATAATAAAATTAGACATGGCCAGGTGCCGGGTCCGGGCCCGGCCCGGCCCGCCGGGTCGGCGGGCCTCAATTGTTGGACCCGTAACCGGCCCGGCAATTCCTATGAGCCGGTTCAAATGAACCGGCCCGGCCCGGCGGTTCGTTGAACCGCCGGGTTAAAAAAAAAAAAATGAACTACGACCCGTCGGAAAAACCGGAACCGGTCCCGGCCCGGCCCGGCCGCCGGGACCGGTTAATGAAAACCATTGAACCGTAACCGGACCGCTTTGGGCCCGGTCCGGTTCACGGCCCGTGTACTGTTCATGCCGGTACCGGTGCCGGTTTGGTCCCGGCTCAAAAGGAAAAAAAAAAAAAAAAAGTTCATTTTTTGGTGACTGCTGAAAGTAAAGTGCAATGGTAGGCCAAAGATCTCATCTTGCTCTTCATCAGTAATAAAAATTAAAAACGCCATTATTCACTAGAGAACTGATGTAAATATTGCACACCGTACTAAAATTATTTGAACTGTTTATGTGCATTTTCTTGAAGAAAATAGGGGGCCACTTTTGTCACCCTTTAGTTGGCTTTTAAAAAGCAGACAAACAAACTTCTATAGTATTTTTCTTTTTCCCTTTTACCTTCTCTCTATGACCCTTAGCATTCATATATTGCTTTTTTCTCTCTCTCTACATTCAATCGTTGCTGCAAGTGAATCCTTGTTTACTTTCACATTTTTGGAACAACAAAAAGAAATCCAGACCAAGATTCTTGCATTTGTATGACCTGTAAGTACAACAATCATGGGTTAGGTGTTTTTGCTGTTACTTTAGTTTAATGATTGATTTCTCGTTCATTGTGTTCTCTGTGTTTGAAAGGTTTTGGGGTTTTCAACTTTTTATTTTTATTTTTGGCTGGTCTGAAGCATTTATTTGCCTTATCAATTCAATGTGTTTTCTGTCAGGGTTGGTATTGATTCTGATTGTCTTCTGATATTGGCTTGAGTTTGATGTGCTTGTAAATTTTGATTGTACTTTTAGATTTATTCAACGCAATTGGAGAAAAATGGGATCTTTTGTTTACTCATACTTCTTTCTTTCTTTCTTTTTTCTCTCTCTTTGTTGTTAGTTATTATAGATATATATCAACTGGTAAAAGGTGTTGCTGGTATGCTTTCAAAATCAGATTACCTGCTTTGTTTCTGTAATGTTATAGTCAATATTTATCTAATTACAAGATTTAGGGTATAACATTTGGTGTAGAAGATTCTTGGAACATGAAACGGCAAATTATCATTGGCTTAGTTTGCTAAAGCTGCAATAAAAATTTAGGATTAAGTAAATCTTTTCTGGGGAAAAAAAATGAAAAATGTGATTTTCAACAAGATAACATGTCTTTTGTTTTTATTTTCATCTCTGATAAGTTTTGCACTCTCACCAAAGAGTTGTGGAACTTACTTGGACTGATGAAGCAGTTGGTTTAATTTTGAGTATGAATGTTGTCTTAACCCAAGAATCATGCTTTTGATGCTAACAGCCTTAATTCTCGGCTATTTTGTTAAGGAAATTACACCAATGACGAGGTTAGCCCGTGGCTTTAGCTACTCGTTGCAGAAAGATGCTGTCTCTCCTGTATCGGCTGATGTGATTTTCGCCTCAACCCGTTTTCCTAAGTACAAAATCGGGGCCAACAATCAGATTGTGGAGATCAAAGAGGACCCAAACATGTTGACCATGAAAGAGATTGTTGCTCGAGAGACCTCATTGCTGCTCGAGCAACAGCAGCGCCTATCTGTACGGGATCTCACAAACAAGTTTGAGAAGGGTTTGGCTGCAGCCGCAAAGTTATCTGACGAGGTCAGTTCTTTGTTGATTTTTATGATCTGAAGAGTAGATTTGCGATTGACTTAAAATGGAAAACTAATTTCGGCCTCTTGCTGAAAGGGATTCGAAAAAATTGTTGTTAGTGTCCGAAATGTCGGTTTCTGCTTCTGATTATTTTTGCGTTTTACAGATAAAGAAGCACTTTTTATAACTTGACGATCCGTGATCTGTCTTGTTGTTAATACTGCGAACTTCTTTAAGTCATGCTATAACAAAGCCTTTCCTTTTTCCTCGATTTTTTTCTAAAAGTGGGAGCATAAAACACCTCCCTAGTCAGGTTATCGAGCTTTCTGAGTAAACTAGTCATTGGGAATTTTGTTGTAAGCTTATGGTGAAGAAGTGAGATTTAGTATTTTGTGAGCTTGGCAAATTTATTTGTTGATTTTGGGTCAAGTAACAAAATGGTTCTCGCTATAAAACTAATTGTCATCTGAAGTTCGTTTTTCGCCATTATTTTTCTTTTGTAGGCAAGACTTAAAGAGGCAGCTTCACTAGAGAAACACGTGCTTCTGAAAAAACTTCGAGATGCACTTGAAGCTCTAAGAGGGCGAGTAGGTGGAAAGAACAAAGACGACGTGAAGGATGCTATTTCTATTGTGAGAAGTTCCTCCGTCCTTATAATTAAATGCTTCCGTATAAGTCTTCCCTCTCTGCCTCAATTATTAATATGTTAATGTTTTGAAGGTTGAAGCTTTAGCGGTTCAGTTAACTCAGAGGGAAGGAGAGCTAATCCAAGAGAAAGCTGAAGTGAAAAAGTTGGCAACTTTTCTAAAGCAGGTAGGTTTTATTGCTTAATACATACATATATGATACATACACATCATGTTTGTTGCTTGATGTTGCTACCTTCTCTCTCTAGATGAATGTTAGTAAATTTCAAAATGATGTATTTTATAATTGTATGTAATTCTTTTCATGGAGAAATATGTTTAGCTTTTGTATATTTGTATTTTTGAATTTATGTCTTAGATTTCTTCTGAAAAAAAAAGGGTGTTATTCTTTTCTGGTCCTATTTGAAAGGCTATGTTCTTTTGCAGGCTTCGGAAGATGCTAAAAAACTTGTTGATGAGGAAAGAGCTTTTGCACGTTCGGAGATTGAGAATGCGAGAGCAGCAGTGCAGAGAGTTGAGGAGGCTCTTCAGGAGCATGAAAGAATGTCTAAAGCTTCCGGAATGCAGGTCCAACATTATTATTTCTTCAGAATAATGTTTAAATTATGCTTTTCTGCACCTGCTAATTCATGAGTTTGGAATCTCTTGTTATATTTGGTCTTCTGTGTTCTTTATAATCAGGACTTGGATGAATTGATGAAGGAGGTTCAAGAGGCTAGACGAATCAAAATGCTGCATCAGCCTAGTAGGGTAAGTTCCATTATGCGTTCTCATTGTCAAGTATTAAGGGAGTGTGTGCAAATTAACCAAGAAAAAAAGAAAAAATAAAGACGGTTCTCATCTTCAAGCTCGAAAAGCATCAGAAAATAAGTATTCTTCCAGCTACATTAGCTTTTCTGCTTATCCCTTTGCTTAAATAATAAGTGAAAGTTTTGGATGATAATTTTATGTATAATATTCCAACTTGTGACATATGGTATGACTTGTTCCCTCCAAAGGACATATGCCTTCAAACTCAAAAACATTTTTTATTTTTCTTTTAACTCAAGTCACCAATCTTCTTTGGTGTACTTCACATGTATCTAGTATTCTAAATACAGGAGTGATTTCTTTTTTTTTTTATTATTATTTTTGTTGGGGGGCAGGTCATGGACATGGAACATGAAATTAATGCATTAAGGACTCAACTTGCAGATAAGGCAAAACGTTCACTACAGCTCCAGAAAGAGGTTTCTCTCTCTTCTTGTCCTTTTTTCCCATTTCTTTGTGTTCAATTTCTGCCTACAGGAGATTTGACGCCAAACAAATGCAAAAGTGTTACTAATTGATTTTCGCATTAACAATATTGCTGTTAGAATTAGAAGCTTCCTGTAGGATTTCTTTATTTGCATTTAACAATACTTCCAGAAATTGTGTGTTAATTTCCTAGATTGAATAGCTGGCTGAAACTTAGACTACAAGGTAATTTTGGATTTGTATAAAAATCTGAAGGACCACTAAGGAAGTATCACGTTCTCTAACCCTAATTCTCTCGAGAATTGCTGTATGTTACGCATGATAATGTACAAGTATTTT